TCTCTTCCTTCCTTCCTCTCTCTCTTTCTTTCTCTTTCTCTCTCTCTCTCTCTCTCTCTCACACACACACACACACACACTTCGTTTGGAAAGATTCCAAAATCCAGAATGACAGAATCGTGTCACCGATTCGGAAATTGGCCACATTCAGAGGGAATCGCTCCTAGCCAATGCTTGGCTTAATGCAAGGAAAACCAAAAATAAAAACCCAGGGCAGCCTTGTGGAAGGAAGGGTTGGCTCCAGCAGTGCTAAACCATCTGGCCTAGAACAGGGCTGTTAAAGAGAAGAGGGTTTTTGAGCATGGAGAAGCACCTTCTGCGCATGGAAAAAGCACGTTTTTCTCCCTGCAAAGCAGCCAAGGGTTTTCTGCACATGGAGAAAAAACTTTTTGTTCCTGCAAAGTGGTCCGTAGGGCTTCTGAGCATGGGAAAACCATTTTTTCTTCCTGCCAAGAGGCCAAGAGGATTTCTAAGCATGAGAAAAACACTTTTTGTTCATGCACAGTGCACAAGAGGGTTCCTGAGTATGGAAAAGAGCACTTTTTTCTCCCTATAAAGTGCATAGTGCTGCATTTTTTTGTTCCCCATCCGTGGAGAACATAGTGCATAGTGCCTGCATAGCTGGACAGCCTGTGAAACACGGTGGGGCTATTTGATAGATCTCCCGTAATGACGGAGAATAGCCATGGGGAGTTGGAAAGCTTTTATCTTTTTATTTCGATTATTCGATTGATATGCTTGGGAGGAGCTGGCAGGCCAGGCACAGAAGGAAGAGTGGGGGTTGGCTCGGGGCTGGGTGGCGCCCAGAACGCCTCGTGGGGGGGGGGGGGCTGTGGTTGAAGTGCCCCTTGGCAGCGCCAACTACAGTTAAGGGAACTCGGCAATCATAGATAATTAGAACTAGAGGATAATTAGAACTGCAGAAAAAACCATTACTACCCACCTGCCTTCAATCGAGGACCTGTTATACTGCACGAGTCAAAAAGAGGGCTGGGAAAATATTTACAGACCCCTCACATCCCGGACATAAACTGTTTCAACTCCTTCCCTCAAAACAACGCTATATAGAGCCCTGCACACCAGAACAACTAGACACAAGGGGAGTTTCTTCCCCTGAACGCCATCACAAATAATTCCCACAACACTGTCCAACTAATTACTAAGTCTGCATTACTATTACTATTAATCTTCTCATCACTCCTTATCTCCCACCCCCTCCCACTTGTGACTCTATGACTGTAACTTTGTCGCTTGTATCCTTACGATTTATATTGACTGTTTCCTACTATGATTTGATTGCTTATGGTACCCTATGACTATTATTAAGTGTTGTACCTAATGGTACTTGACTCTTGACGAATGTATCTTTTCTTTTATGTACACTGAGAGCATTTGCACCAAGACAAATTCCTTGTGTGTCCAATCACACTTGGCCAATAAAGAATTCTATTCTATTCTATTCTATTCTATTCTATTCTATTCTATTCTATTCTATTCTTTCCTATCCTATCCTACATTCTATTCTATTCTATTCTATTCTATTCTATTCTATTCTATTCTATTCCATTCTTTCCTATCCTATCCTATCCTATCCTATCCTATCCTACATTCTATTCTATTCTATTCTATTCTATTCTATTCTATTCTATTCCTATTCTATTCCTATATCTATCTATCTATCTATCTATCTATCTATCTATCTATCTATCTATCTATCATCTATCTATCTATCTATCTATCTATCTATCTATCTATCTATCTATCTATCTATCGATAATCTGTCATCTATCTATCTATCTATCTATCTATCTATCTATCTATCTATCTATCTATCTATATCTATCTATCTATCTATCTATCTATCTATCTATCTATCTATCTATCTATCTCACACCATTCAGTTCCTTTTGCAATGGAGAAATATTCCTTTTTCCCTCTGGATTGGGAGAGAACACAGAACACAGAATCCCAGGGCTGGAAGGGGCCTAAGAGATCCTCTAGTCCAACCCCCCTATTCCATCCTGGCAAAGCTTGCTGGACGAGAAGCCATATGACCTTACTGCCGTGATGCCACCCAACCTCCCCCATTCACCCAAGGGAGAGAGAATATACGCCGGTTCAATGTCCTCCCTGGGCATCAGCAGCTGCAGCAAACACTCAATGGATCCTGTCTGTCGTCCTCCCCCGCCCCCATTTTCTTTCCCCTCCCCCTCCCCCCCCCCCCCCCCCCCAAGAAAGCCAAGGGTGCAAACAGCCCAACCTACTTGCCAGAAGCGTAGACTTCGGCTGTGTCGAAGAGGTTGACCCCGTTTTCGTAAGCAATGGTGAGCACGTTTTCAGCCACCTAGGAGCAGAAAGGGAAAAGGGGGAGGGAAAAGAGGAGGGGGGCTTTTTTTTAATCTGGGGGGCTTCACTGCCCGCCCACCCCTCCCCCGTAAAAGCTTCTCTTGCAGAGAGATAGAAAAATCTGCACCAACCGTTTAAAATTTGCCTGTTAAGAAAGAGTGGGGGGGGGGAAATGACTTCTCTCTATCTTGGCTTTTAGCTTAGGGACATAGTGTGTGTGTGTGTGTGTGTGTGTGTGTGTGTGTGTGCTAGGGAGGGGAGTCTTTTCAATGTTGAGACTTGGAGAGGAAGCTGAGGTCAGCCTAGACCTCTTTAAAAAAAAAAAAAAAATAGCTGGAAACTTTTAAGACGGGTGGACTCCCAGAATTCCCCAGCCAGCTCTTTCTTTCTTTCTTTTTTTTTTAGTCAAAGATATATTACATCTTACTGCATACCCACCGTCTATTAAGAAACTTACCCTCCTCCATGGCTGGCTGGGGAATTCTGGGAGTTGAAGTCCACCCGTCTTAAAAGTGACCAGCTTTGAGAAACACTGACCTAATCTGATATCGTGTCCCGTTCTGGCAGCCCGTTTTAGGAAACGGTTCAGAGAAACCCGAACGAAATTCAGCGAAGGGCAAGGAGAGGACCTCAGGATGTCAAAACTTCAATTGTTCTTAATTCTGTCGAATCAAAATAGATTCCTTCTGAGGGTCGAAGGGCAACAGGGCAGAAGGATCTCACTGCTACAAGAGCCCAACCAGGTAGACCAGAGTAAAACAACCAATCCATATACATCAGGATTATTTTTAGGGTCATAGCTATTCTGACCTAGCCTTCGTCCGAGCCTTCCTCAGCCTCCAGGAGTGGCCCAGGTTCCCCCCCCCCCCGCCAACCTCCTCACTGTCCAAATCTGCTGCCAGCTCCGCTAGCTGCCCGGCGGGTTACAACAATAGCTAAAGAATCTTGCATGTCTGAATGCGCTTCATGGTTGTCTGAACGAGGGAGGGGCTTAGCTGAGATGTTTTCTCCTGTTACATTCTTGTCTGGGATTTGAGACCCTCTCCTCTGTCCACTGCCTGGGTGGCCAGATCTTCTTCTTCCTGTCCTTTACGCCGTTCCATCTTTCGTGTGCAGTCGTGAAATGGGTAGGTGGGCGAAGCGAGACTCACCTCATCAGAGATCTGGGATCCAAACGTCACCCACGTACCTACAAGGGAAAACGGGCGTTTGAAACAGGATTATCGATCGGGTTGCCCCCTCCTGCTAAGGATTTGCCAAGCTACTCTTAAGCGGCCTAGAACCCAAAGCGAAAGAATCACAAGAGTTGGAAGGGACCTTGGAGGTCTTCTAGTCCAGCCCCCCTACTCAGGCAGGAGACCCTATACAATTCCAGACAAATGGCTGTCCAATTTCTCCTTAAAAACCTCCAGTGATGAAGCACTCGCAACTTCTGGTGGCAAGCAGTTCCACTGGTTAATTAATAGAATAACAGAATGAAGAGAATTGGAAGGGACCTTGGAGGTCTTCTAGTCCACCCCTTTGCTCAAGAAGGAGACTCTATATAACATTCCAGTCCAATCTTTTCTTAGAAACCTCCAGTGACGGAGCAACCCACAATTTCTAGTGGCAAGCTGTTCCACTGGTTAATTGTTCATTAAAAGTGATCTTTTTGAAGCAGGATCACTATGGATATTTATCTATTATTTTTATTATTGATTTATTTATTATTATTCTCACTATGTTCCTGTTTCACTGTTTCATTGTTTATTGTTCTATTTTGCTTCTATTCAGTTTACACACACACACATACACACACACACACACACACACTTTCGTTTTCTTCCTTTTTATGGTAAGCTGACTACGGTAGCCCCTCGGCAAGACATTATCAAATAAATTTATAGAAAAGAAAGGGACAAGAATTTTTTTGGGGGGGACGGAACTACAGGAAGTCCTCGACTTACGACCGATCGTTTAGCGACATTTTGAAGTTGCAATGGCATTGAACAAAGTGACTTATGATTGGACCTCACAGTTGCGACCATCACCACATCCCTACGGTCATTTGTTCAAAGATCAGGTGTATTCAGCGCGGATTTCATGATTTCAAGGTCACGTGACCCCACCATTTGTGACATTCCAACGTGAAAATTCAGTGAAGAAGTCGGGTTTGCTTCGTGACCGTGTAATTCATTTAACGACTGCTGTGATTCACTTAGCAGCCATGGCAAAAAAAAAAAACCTTGTAAAATTGGGAGCGACTCACTGAACAACCGCCGTGCTTAACAGTGGAAATTCTGGTTCCAATTTTAGGTCCTAAGTCAAGGAATACCTGTAGTCCCTATTAAAAACTAAGTACATTTGGATGGAGAATTCTCGATTCTCTTTCTAACTGTCCTCCTCTGAACTGGGGAATCAGCCAAACTTTTCACCCATAATAAGGGAAGATTTCGGCTTTTAGTTACATCAGGGGGTCTCCAACCTGGGCAACTTTAAGCACTTTCCCCCCACTTTGCTGAAATCAAGATATATTACGCTTACTGCATACCCATCATCTATTAGGCTGGGAAAAGGCTGTTTTACATCTTATCTGTGGTGGAGCTGGATGCTGGTTGAATGCCAAGGATGAAGCAACAGGCACACACCCAACAGAGTTTTTCCCAAAATTGAACGAGCCTCCCACCTTTTTCAGAAGTATTCTGTGCCACCCAGCTCATGTTTCTCGATCCCTTGTAACTCACCAAGGCCCACACAGGAGACGCGCAGACCGGACTTTCCAAGGTTCCTGCAATGAAAAAACAAAGGAGAAGGTGAAGTGGGGTGGGGGGGTGGGTGGGGGGGAGCAACTTTCAATTATGACACTGGGGATGGCAACAGTGGTCTGTCAGGGTCTGTGGGAATGGCCTTGGGAGGCAGGGAAAGGCGCCGCAGATGAAGCAAGATAAGAGGCAGCTGAACCAGAGGTGGTATTCAGCTGGTTTGGACCAGTTCCGGAGAACCGGTAGTGGAAATTTTGAGTAGTTCGGAGAACTGGCAAATGCCACCTCTGACTGGCCCCGCCCCCATCTCTTCTCCGCCTCCCATTGAGTCCCAGCTGATTGGCTGGGTCTTCTTTGGTTGCCCTGCACAGGAGAACGGAGCTGGAAAGCAGGTTAGTGGGGTAGGGGAGGGAATGGGGGTTTTACAGCATCCTTCCCCTGCCACGCCCACCAAGCCATGTCCACGAAACCACACCCACAGGACTGGTAGTAAAAAATATTTGAATCCCACCGATGAGCTGAACCCCACTAGAAGGAAAGTGGATGTGGCAAACAGAAGGGAGCAGGAGGTGGGCTGCTAGCGGTTTGCACCGGTTCGCGCGAAACGGTCGTTAATTTTATGTCCGGTTCACTGAACCGGCAAATCCCACCCCTAACTTGCCCCGCCTACCCCTCCCCTCCCAGGAGTGTACCTCTCTCCCCCTACCTCTCCTTTAGGGTCCAAGAAACTAGGGGTCTCGTCTGCGAAGCTTCTCATGTCCTCATTCCTTCTGTGGGCTCAGCTGCCTCTTATCCGCCTCTCGCTTCGTCTGCAGCTCTTCCTCCCCCCTCCCCAAGATCACTGGCATGTGCCATTGCAGGCAGTTCTCAACTTACGACAATGATTGAACCCCACCATTTCTGTTGCTAAGCGAATCATTTGTGAAGTGAATTCGCCCCCCCCTTTTTTTTTAAACGGCCTTCCTCAGCCGTTTGTTTGTGAAGTGAATCCCTGTGGTTGCTACGTTAGCGACACGGTCATTAAGCGAATCTGCCTTCCCCCAATAGATGTTGTTCATATTAAAGTCTCAAAAAGGGGAACTCTGCAACCATCGTAAGTATGAGTCAGTGGCCGAGTGTCTGAATTTTTAGATCACGGGAGCATAGGGGGGGAATGCCGCAACGGTTGTAAATGTGAGAAATGGTCACAAATCACTTTTTTCAGTGCCGTTGTAACTTTGGCCACTAAATGAACTGTTGAAAGTCGAGGACTACCCTGTTTTCCTGTACGGAAGTTTTCTCCACCAACACAACCATTGGGTTTCATATCAGCTTTAAGTACACAGCATGCCATGCCCTCTGTACAGCATGCAACAGTGTTCTGGTGCCCCCCCCCCAGTATGCTGGGAGTTGTAGTCCAGCATATTTAGAGGGGGGGGGTCCAGAGCAGAGCACACACGAGGGGCGAGCAAGCTGCATTTCCATTGGTTTCGTTGCTTTGTGGAGGGACAAACCAGGAATGTACGGGTACCCAGAACTTGTGAATTCCCCCTTGGACATTCTTCCCAAGTTTCCAGCACACCCTGAAAAGCTGCGGCTCCTCCTCCTGGGCCTTGTGTTCCTCCCCGCTTAGTGCCCAGGGTGAGTCTTCACCGTTTGATGAGGGAGTCGCTCTTGTGAGCAATAACAAAGTTAAAAATAGATGCTGGTTTGCACTTTCGAAACCGAGTCACTCCCGCTCCTAATTGCTGGGAGGAAAACAGGCCACGAACCACCCCGGTTTCATGTGGGCAGCTGTTTTCATTTCTTTTTAGTGACGTCACGCCCCAATCCTTTATAAACAAACATACATACACACATACACACACACACACATATATCCAGGGGTGGGATTCAAATTTTTTAACAACCGGTTCTGTGGGCATGGTTTAGGTGGTGGGAGTGGCTTTGTGGTCATGTTATTGGCTGGATGTGGCCAACTCAATATCACTCACATCGAGGCACGCATCTTCTCGCCTGGCCTCTCATGACTGTGGGGATGTTGCAACAGTCGTAAGTGTGAAAAATGGTCATAAGTCACTCTTTTCAGTGCCATTGTAACTGTAATGGTTACTCCACACAAGCAAAGGGGGAAAAACTCCAGAGAAGTTCCTGAGACAGGAAATCTAGTCCTGCCAAGAATGCAATAAGGGTTAACGGAGAAGCAGTTTCTGTAAGCAACACCAGAATGTTTCCTTCCTGCCTTCCTTACAGGATTAGCCCAGCAATTTCTTCTAACAACCGGTTCTCTGAACTGCTTAGATTGTTAACAGCCGGTTCTAGCGAATAGGTGCGAACTGGTAGAATCCCACCCCTGTATATATCCTATTACCATAATACACAACATTTATTCATTCTCTGAAAAGGAATAAACAACAACCACAACAAACCACAG